AAAAAGATTTTTTTGTTAAACCACTTTTTCCAATATCAAAATTTCCACTGGTTCTTTAAAGCTTAGTTTCATTCTTTACCTACTACGTTTCTGGAGTTAGTATTTGTTAGTAGTCACTTTATCCATTTTGTGCTACTTTATACTTCTGTTTCACCACATTTCAGAGGGAATATTGTAGTTTTTACTCTACTACACTGACTGACACTGACAAACATAGTTACTAGTTACTTTGCAGATTAAGAACTTACATACAAAACTTAATCTTGTAAAATATGATGCACGTACTGTACAAATTGTACAGATTAAACTACCCAACAGTATACTGAAGTTAAAATAGGCTTTACCTCACCCAGCTGAAATTAATGAATAATAATATAAAAATGACTCTTCTGCGGAATGAGTGCTTTTACTTTAGTGTTCATTTAGCTGAAACTTAGATGCTTGTACTTAAATAAGATTTAGAGGACTTTTATATTCCATGTGCTGCTTTATTGAAGTAAAGGATCTGGATAAGTCTTCTCTCACTGACCTTGCTTCAAACGGCGATTCTGAAAAAAGGCAGTTTTCTGTCACTACATTGAACTGACCACAGCCGATAGCATGTGTAGACAGGCGGAGAAACAAGGCCAGACATGGGTGTGACTGTTTCGCTGACTGCAACAGTCGTCACACGCTATTCCACATGCATGTGCAGACACACATAAACACACACACACACACACACACACACACACACACACACACACACACACTGACTAAGGATTTTGTAATCTCATTTACCCACTTGATTTAGTTACATTTCTTATTCATCAGGCCAGGTTAATTCTCCAGCCCGAGGTTGTAGTTTTTGTTACTTCCAGAAGCACCCTGATTTGTGAAGGGAACACCTGTAATACCGCTCCGCGAGGCAAGCCTCCGGTACTAAACTAAGCCTGTGAGGGCTCAAACACACTGACACACACACATACACACACACACACACAGAGTCAGATATTCCCTGCCAGTCTCCTTCAAGGACGCCTGGGGAAGACTTGGAGGACAAAATCACACACTCCCTTTCCCAGTGTCTCAGACGCGCTGCACTTCTAATGCAGACAGAAAGCCTCCTCCAAAGAGACCAGGCACACACAAACTCTCTCCCGCGTAGACACACACTTACACTTACACACACTTAAACACACAAATACCCTGAAAGGCCCTTCCACCTCTCCATGTGAGAAAAGCAGGACATTTTCTGTCTGCGTTGTTTCTCTGATTGACGCTCTCCTGCTCTCAGCTGTTTCGAGCTGTTCAGTGTGTGTGTGTGTGTGTGTGTGTGTGTGTGTGTGTGTGTGTGTGTGTGTGTGTGTGTGTATGTGTGTGTGTCAATGTGTGTGTGTGTGAAGTGAAGGGGGCTCACTGGGACTCTTTGACGACCTCATTCACTCCCTTCTTCTCCCCCTTGGCTGCGCCATAGCCGACATGCCCAACAATGAGGCGGGAGGGTGGGAGTCGGACAAAAAACACTGAATGCGTCTTCATTTGCCTGAACTTTTCACACGTCTTTTTCCTTTTGTTGCCGGCCGCCCGTTCACTACAGTGCTGCGAGCCGCTCAGCCAGTTTCCGCTGGCAAGACAGCCAACCAAAGCAGCACTTTTCCTCCCCCCCCTTCCTCCTCTGTCACCCTTCTCCCCTCCTTTTCCACAATGTTAAGCCCATTTTTAGCTTGACATAATCTGAAATGGTACTTAAGTGAATTTATGTCTACCTCAGTGCATTAACTTCTGCTATTTCCTCCTTTATGTTGCTGTTTTTTTTTTTTTGTATTGGGTGCAGCGATGGAGTGAGCATGAGGGAGGGAGAGATTTGAAACTCAGACCACGGAGTAGACAGCCTATCAGTATTCAGTAGAGAAAGTGAGTGATGGAGGGAGAGAGAGAGACGGAGGGAGAGAGAGAGAGAAAAAGGAGGAGGGGGTGATGTATCAATATTCTGAGTAGTGTTTGAGGGCAAGGGGAACGAACAGAGGAGAGGGGGAAGGGGGCGAGGAGGGAGGGAGATTGGTGGGAGAGAGAGTACTTGAGTGAGTCTCTGAGTGTGATTATTTGTTCACGTATATGCTTGTGTGTGTGTGTGTGTGTGTGTGTGTGTGTGTGTGTGTGTGAGAGTGTGTGTGTGTGTGTGTGTGCATCTGTGATCGTATGTGTTGTTTGCCTTTGTGTGTGTGGTTGTGGGTCCGAGCACATGTTGACATGTACATACATTACATACAGTCAGAAATGCAACTAAGTAGTGTACTCTAGTGCGATTTTGCGGTACTTGTACTTTACTTGAGTATTTCCTTTGTATGCTACTTGATAGGCTATTTCAAAATGGGAAGGCAGCAGACTTACTAAAGAATTCAACATTTATTAACAGAACCCATGTTAACTATATTAGACCATTAATTTGATGCAGGCCAATCAGATGAGTCTGGCATTTTTAAAGGCCACAGCTCATGTATTAATATCAGAAGATTACTAAATGTTTCAGACACGTTAGCAACAGGCAGTGGCATCTTAAGACTTAAAACTAAGATCTTAGCCCCATACAGTTACAATGGGACTCAGATCATCTTAGTCTTAGGTGCCCTGTGCAAACAAAACAAAGTTATTATATATTGTGGGTATCCTTGAGATTTAACAAATGCTTGCCATCTTCTTTTTGCCAGCCTTTGTTGGCGCATTGCTGAATGTCTTGACGTGTTTCCACCACCTGTAGATCAGTGATCAGTGTGAAACCACTGGTAGGGGTGTGTACCCCGTCACCCATGTGTGTGCATCCTTGTGTGTGTGCATGAGACAAACAAAACAGGGACCCATTCATAGAGAAACAGCTCCATAGCACTACTAGAGGTCAAAAGCTCGGCAGGGAACCTTTAAGGTGCTTTCGAAAAGACGTCCTTGTTTTAGTTTTACCTTCGAGCAATTTGATTTAAACAGTAAATGTATTAAATGGTTGATGGTCCTTTATGCCCATCTGGTTTTGGTTATGGATCCAGAAGGTCCAATAACCTTTGGTAAGTAATAATAACACAATATTACAATCTGTAATAATGCACCACTCATAGTGCTCTTTTATGTGCATAGTGAGTATTTTCACAATTAAATATAATTTGCTGTTATAAGTCTGTACTTATACTTAAGGAAGATTTTGAATGCAGGACTTTTAAATAAGTATTTTTACATTGTGCTATGTCTACTTTTTACACTCAAGTAAAGGAACTCCAGACAGTGTAGTGATATTGGGCTAAGTAAATAAATTTGACCTGACTTGACATTCAGTGTTATTTTGTTTCTGGACAGTTGTCTTGCAGCTGTTCACTTGTATGTATTATATGATGAGTTGAAATTATAGGGACTTCCATTTGAAGATGAAAAAAGACTGTCCTCAGCAGTGTTTGTCATTTTTTAACGTGCACAAAACAACTTTTATATTTACCTGACAAAGACCTCTTGTAGCCTTGCGAATTAGATATTTTTTTGCCTCCAAAGCAAAGGCAGAAGTAGTGTGACATTGTTATGGATTACGGACGTATGGGTCAACAAATCAAATGATTATGAGATGATGGACTGCTTGTCACATCCCCTTTTCAGTCAACATTGTTTTTTGGGTTGTTGTTTTTACCATAACTTCAAATTTTCTTTAAACTTTCTTAACCAAGTAGCTGTTGTACCTAAATCTTACCAAACCTTAGCAGTAATGGTGGCAGCACTGGTTGATTTGGATGGGTGAACTGTAATTTCCATGTTTTTATGGATGAATGAATTGAACCTTGAACAGTTTTCAGAGGCTGACAAACGATCAGAAAATGCTGGTACTGGATGGGGCGTTTTGGAAGACAATGACAAATGTTGGGTCTTTTCTTTAATTTGGATGACTTGCACGATAATAGCTTACCCACAAGGTAAAACATTAAATCTTATGGTTAAAACTTGTTTTTCAGTTAATATTAGGTTTGGGTAGGTGTCCAGGAATTAATGTCAGTCAATGGGATGTCCTCCTAAGTGACAAAAACAAGTTTGTGTGTGTTTGCACGGGACAGGAGTCACAGTTTACAATACGTGTGTGTGGATGTGATGGAATCTCCCACTTGTTTCAGTCATCCCTTCTCTGTCCTCCTCTCTCTCTCTCTCTCTCTCTCTCTCTCTCTCTCTCTCTCTCTCTCTCTCTCTTTTACTCCGGCTGCTAATCAGCATTTGAAAGGCAGCTTTGACACTGAGAAAGAAAGTGAGGGGGGCACAGGGAGGTGGGGGTAAACGAAAGCATGAGACACAGCGAGTTAGGGAGGGAGAGCCAGAGAGAGACTGAGGCGAGGGGCTGTACAAGCATGCCTTTTATATTTACTAGTGACTGAGAGAGAGAGAGCGAGAGAGAGAGAGAGAGAGAGAGAGGGAGAGAGAGAGGGAGCAGCTGAAGGCAGAGACAACTGGTGTGCACGGCTTTCCCAAGAGGAAATGAAAAGAAAGAAGCTCAGCGAGGAGAGTGAATGAGTGAGCGGGAGAGAGGAAGGGTGGGAGGGAGCATGCCGGCTGGAGAGAGGGAGAGAGAGAGAGAGAGAGAGAGACGTAGTGAGGGGAGAGAGAGAGAGAGCGAGGAAGAGATTCTCACACTGGCTGTGTCCTAATCCGAGTCCATCTCCAAGAAGCAGCGGAGCAGAGTGTTAGTGAAGTGAGTCTGAGAGCCAAGGAGAGCTACATCAGCTAGCTTCACTCACACACACACACACACACACACACACACACACACACACACACACACACACACACACACACACACACACACACACTTTCTTGCTCTCTCTCTTTCACACACAGACACACACACACACACACACACACACACACTCTCTCTTTTGCAACGGGAGTCCACGATGTGTCCGGCTGCACGGTCACGGCTTTTGTGAAAGTGAGGGGATTGACGCTGCCCCTGTCCCAGCCCCCTTGGCTCACACACACAGTGTTTGTTTGCTGTGTTTAAGCTTGAGGTGCCGGCGGAGGTGGTGGTGGTGGTGGTGGTGTTGGGGGGCACCGCCAGGGCAGAGCAAGGGGCTCCGGAGAGAAGAAGAAAGAGAAAAAGAGGAGGAAGAGGAGGAGAGGCAAAGTGGATCAGATCAACAGCAGCAGACTGAACGCTGGAAATGCCCGTCAGGTGAGTAGATAATGGATCTAACAACTTATGGTCAGCACACACACACACACACGCACACACTCACATGCATGAGTGTACACACACACTTTCTCACTCTTTTCTCGCGCACACACACCGGACACACGTATTGTGAAGTTGTCACCTTTTACGAGATTGTTTTGTTAGTTTGAAATGGATTCATTTTGATGTGTCAATCTACTGTTAGATTTGTTATAAAGATTAAATCAGCTTTATAATAACTTGTTAAATTTTTATTTGAAGTAGTTTTTTTTTATCTTTCTTTGAGATAAAGTATCAGCATTTGTGCAGCGGTGAAAACAGAAATAATATGCAGTTATGATGTTTGACTAAATTAGCAATTAGTAGAAAGTCAAAGTCATTTAGGTGATACATTATAAAATGAGAATAAAAGAATGACTTTTATATTAAAATTGAACTTTCTTCTACTTATTGTAGCCTCTTTTTACTGTAACAGCATGTTTGAATGTACATTTGATTACAGAATATACATAGACACATTTATTTCAGCATAAAACTGTAGTTTTATAATTTACTATAAGTGAATATTAATGTTTTAATTGATCAGGTAATTTGACTAAATGTTTGAAAGCACCATTATTGCTTTTCTACTAAGTTCCTTTAAGCATTTTGATTTTCACTGCAAATATTCTAATCTTTGCTAATAAGCCAAATAATTATGTATGTTTATGTTCTGGGCATAATGGACGGGATAATAATGGCCCACCACTTTCTGATACATTTTATGCGCTTGTGCGTTTGTGTTTGTGTGTGCTGGAGTTTGAGATATATAAAGCAGAGGAGTGAGCGGCTGTGTGTCCGTCTCCACCTGCAGAGGCAGAATTGGTCACAGTTTACTGGCTTAGTAACATTCGGTGGCTTCAGGGTGTTTGCAGCAGGTGGTCCAAATTGGTAGAATGACTGTGACAAACGCGCAGTGTTCGCCGTTGCTGTAAAGTAAATAACAACATCAAACCATCACAGAGTGATTTCAGGTTTTCTGAGGTTTTTTTATCTTTTTCTTTTTTCATAATTTGCGGTTATTGTGGTTGGAGGCTTGTCACTTAAAGTAAAAGTCAGACTCTCAGAGTAGTGGAACAGTTATTTCACAAAGGAAAAAAAATGTGTGTGCATGTCTGAGAGTGTGCAAATGTAAGGGTGGTTACATATTCTCCCTGAACGTTTCTACAAAACCTGTTGTGCGTTTGCTATAAATTCTGAAAAAATGTAATGCCAATAGGATAATTTGCACACACACCTGCTGAGATAGCAGGTGCTTCAGATAAATTCAAACCAAATAACTACCTGCAGAACTGAGTCACTGTTGCAGGTGTCAGGATGAGGTGCCAAAATGTTATTATTAGTCAAAAAGAGCCACTGTCCATACTCACATGTAATAAGTTTTTTGTAACTTACTGCCCTAGGGCAATTTTTAAAAATCTTTTTCCAGCTTTTTAAAATTGTATCTATTGAATATTTCTACTTTACTGTCTGCACTGTTTCAATAAAGATCAGATACAGCAGCTACACATGTAGCAACACTGACACGAAACAGGGTCATACCGTGTCATCACATGTCCGTGGTACAGTTTATACCCCAGACCACTGAGCCACTAAGCCTCTCCATCCGCTTCACTTCTCGCATGTGCAGGACGCTTTGGTCGTGACCCACCAATAGGCCTTTTTTATTAGACCCAGACGCTGGTTTCTTCTTTGGCTTTTGGATTTAAGGAGTTGCGGTTCATGCCAACAGGCAAACTGTGTGACAGACCCTGACTTGGATTACTTTGTGAAAATGTTGGTAACAAAGAGTCCTGTGTGAAAACTGCACACAAAATTTTAAATGAATTCAATAAAAGGTATTTGGAGCTGTTTTTCTAAGAGCAGGCAGATGAGCGCCACTTTTATTTTTCTGCCAAAGATCAGCGCTTGTATGTGTTTCTTAGGATGCTGTGAGGTTAACATCTAGTCTTCTTTGCCAGTTAGTTATATTTTCTGTATTGATTTTACATAAACAATGATCACACGTGTAGCCAAAGTTAATATCAGTAATTTATAAATGTATCTTGGTTGGTTGACAGAAACCGACTCACTTTTTGTGACTCATTGACAAGTTCTCAGGTAGACAACTCACCTCTCTCTCCCTTCCTCTTTCCATCCCTCTCTTGATATTTTTGTCTCTCTCTGTTGCTCTCTTATACACACGCTGAGGTGGTCAGTGTCTGGTGTGTTGACGGACAGCCGCTCACACACTCCTTGCTCTTGCTGTGCATGTGTGTGTATGTGTGTGTGTGTGTGTGCGTGAAGAGCGTTGACAGACAGTGTGTGGGTCTGTGACAGAGGGTGTCAGCGCGGTGTCAGGGAGATGTGTTTAGTGTCACACTCTGCTGACCTGATCTCCGGTCGGACTGTCCACTCCGGCCCCGCTGTGGCTCCTTACATAACCCCCGCTGTCATTCACACAGCGGCCTGAAGGGATCCACCAGGCTGCGCGCACGCACACACACACACACACACACACATGCAGTTTCTTAGTTACATGCACACAATGTATAGGCATCCACACTCACAGTCACTTTCCCTCTGAATCAAATGCCAGATCAGGTGCAGTCTTCAAATCTTCCTTACAATCACTCTTTCATGTTGTTTTTTCCTTCTTTGTTGTTGTCTAATTTATGCCACGGCATAAAGCAGAAGTTACATAAATTAACACTATATCTGGAAATATTCAAACAAGGCGTCGAGCTCCAAGCAGTGTGTGGGAATATAGCATGAGGCCAGCGGGTACCCTGGCTTCCCCAGTGTGCTGCAAGACACCTACACAACTTGTGCAACTCTTATCAAGAGTTTGACACTGCTCTGAACTCTGACTTTTGCACCATGCTAATTGATGTGTCTGTATTTGCATGTGGACATCTCTGTGCTGGTGTGCAGAGTGAGGGTTTGCTTTCAAGTCCATGCACATACACATTGGTGTTGGAGAGAGTGAGTGACCCTGTGTGCTGTGCTTTGGCCTGTGGTTATTTGGAGGTCAGTGCTGATGTGGTCTCTGCCTGCGGGAGTGAATTTACCATCTTCTGCCTTATAGAGACCTGCATCCACTTAGCTGACTCTTCCACAGTCCGAGGGAGAAGTTTCTGTCTTCTTTGTACCTTTTTCTGTTTGTTCACCGGTAACTTTTAAAGTTTTGGGAACATTTGAACATTAGAAACACTGTATTATGAATATTATCAGTATTCTCCTTACATGTGACCACATTGTAATTTCATTCAAAATAAGAAGCTTTTATCATTGACTTTCCTTCACCTTTAGCCTTGCCCTTACAACGAGGTCGGGGTATTTAACCCCAGAATAGATTGCAGCTATTATTTTCACTTGTGCTACTTTATTGACCCAGGATTTTCTCTTTCAAGCATAGATATCATAAGGGTCACGAGTGGTTAACTTCATGATCGACATTTTTACCGAATACATTTACTTTTATGGCTATTTAATTTCTCAGAGTTATCTGCTTTCAGATGTTTTGAAGTTTATTTTGTATTTATACACTGGAGTGACTCTGATGAAAAATGTTTTCATGTTTCACTCATACTGTTGATCCTGCGTCCTGCGTTAGGGGAAACTAAACCCCTGAATGTACTGTACTACCTCTGTTACACAGTTAAAGGATTTAAGATTGGATATTTTGTAAAGTCATATAAATTGTATATCATTTCAGCATACTGTTTGTATTATTTTGTAGATCTGGTTGCTCCAGAAGTGATAAATAAGACACTGACACATTGTTTCCAGTCTGTGGGATGAAGTCTGCCACGTTCTTCAGGTGATTATACCTGTTATGCTGCTCAAATCTTTTTCATTACTTTCAATACTGGGCGAGGAATGCAGTTTATTTGTGAATAATCACTGGAGAGCAATCTAAATTTGTCTGGTAAACACTGTAAGTATATATAATTCTGTGTGCTGATACTTTTCGACTTCATATTTAATACAGTGCAGGTGTAGTGGAGCGTTTCTTTTGTGTATACTGAGGCTGAGGTAGATGGTAATTATGACAGGCATGGATTGGATTCTGCGTAGCTCCACGCCCGTGAGGAGTGGACATCAAAGCACGCTCACCAAAGCCCTCTGTAATAAAAGAGGAGGAGGAGAAAGATATTGATTACCAAGGGTGAACATTAGCAAATCTCTTTCTCTCTCCTTTTTTTTCATGTATGTCTTCATCCGTCCATCATTTCTCTCCCTCTCTTACGCTCTGATTTGCCTCCCTCCGCCTTAACTTATGCTCCCTCCATCCCCCATCCGCTCTCCATCCACCCCTCTAATCATTTATTTATCGCTGATCTCTTTATTCTGTATTCTTCCAGTTTAGGGACGGTCCACGCTGTGACTGTACACTGCTGGTTCACTCACACGGGCTGTTATCATCATTCCTTTACACCCTTTCCCGAACCCTCCTCTTCCTCCTCATCACCGCAGAGATACCTGGGGGCGGGCGGGGTCACTCTGGTCCAATCTAACGCCGTATTGATTCCATTAGATAATTAATGACCCAGGCAGGGGCCAGGGAGGAGCAAAGAGGGGGGTTAGGAGAGATGGGGGGGCCCGTGAGGATGATGGGAGAGGCGAAGGGGGGCGGAGGAGGGGGAGAAGGGGTGGGGGGACGCCAAGGCCCTTGAGAGTTGGAGAGAACCTTGGGTTGGGAATGATCCAGAGTCGTCAAGGTCAACTGCAGCCGGCGCTCCGATATGGAAGCAGAATGCCGAGCGAGACAGAATATGGAATACTGATAGGGAGGTGGGGGGTGGGTGGGGGGATCTTCATGTCCAGCAGCTGTCGATTGATCAGCGGCTGAAAAATTGTACATTAAAAAGTCTTTTGACTTCCAAATCCTGAGGTCCAACCAGGGCCGTAATGCATGATAAGTAGTTTTCAGCCCTCCAACCAGAATACCAAACTTCATCTCCCCGGACGCTCCAGACACTCATTTACAACTACTCAACAACATGAAAGGCAAGATAGAAAACTAGCTACATCAAATATTCTGTTCATGTCATTTCCAACCATGTTTTCTACATCTTCCATGATATTGAGCGTGCTCTATTTGATAAAATATTATTCACAGGAATATCGTACATCACTTGTTGTATGTGGACTCCACTTCTACCTTTAGTTGGAGATAATTAAAGGCGGGTGGGGGATGTAAAAAAAGTAGAGAGCTGTCTAAAAACTGTTAGCACTAACATTTTATTTGAGTAAGACTGCTATAACAGTTTAGCAGTTTTTGCCAGGTTTTTTTTTTTGCATTTTTTGGTTGTTTTTTATTTTACCTTTATTTTGATAGTGAACAATCAGAGGTGATAGGAAACACATTGCAAATGCTGTCAGCATCATGTTTCACAAATGGCTGTCACTTGCAAGTGCAGATAAATAAGTCCTATGAGGCTCTTGTATGCTTATGTGTGGGTCGGAAAGATGGAATTTGTTCTGATTAGTGAATCGTGTCAAAATTAACGGGGGAGCAAAGGATTTTAAATTGCATCTTGCATGTTTTGCAGATTTGGTGAAACGGGCTCCAGGGACGTCATGATCATAGTATATATACTGGGCTAACTAAACCACTAAAACGTCAACTTCTATGCAAGAAAACACACCTATCCTGATAAAATAAAAAGTCCTTAGATCTCTGAATTTGTCAAAAGTCATAAACTATTCTCTTCTTCCTATGCATTGCATATAGGCATGGTCCTGCTCTTCACCTTTGCAGGATTGCAGCTTGCATGCTGTCTCCAGTGGGCCATGAGAGCTCCTCTGTTTCCACATTCACAGTCTTGGCCAGCCTCTGTATTGGGCCCCAGGGGTTGGGGAGATGAGGCATAAAACAACCATGTCTCTACCTAGGGGAGCTGGTGGCATGGCAGTGGGGCCATTGTCTGTCTGCGTGCTGTTTGACTTAAATGTGTTCATTTGCCTGATGCCCCTGACTCCCTACAGGGAGGGGCGGCTCGGGGAGGGGAGGGGCACGCTAACGAACCTCTGACAGCTGGAGGCCCTAATTAAACGTCCCTGCTGAAAATAAACAGAGCAGGAGCCAAGCGAGCAGCCAGAGAGAAACGCACGGCAAACAGCGGCTGTGAACGTTCGCCGCAGCGCCCTCCTCTCTGTTGCTGTTGAGACTGTGCCAAGGGAGCACGGCTCTATAGGGTAGGGGTCTTAGACACACACTCGCGTATACACACGCGTACAACACACTTATGAATATGTAGCACTGCAGCAACACATTGTGAACACCTGCGGTCACACTTGATACAGGTTGATCTCTACAGCTGTGGGCACTGTATGTTTTTACTCTCACTCCTCTCAGAAGTCACACTTTCCTTTTCCATATATTTCCCACTCTGCTATTACAGAACTCAGCTCTATTGAGCAGATTGTTTCGCATTCTGTCTAGATGACACTTCTGACATTCAGCCTGTTGTGCTGCTAGCTAGCCGGAGCATTAGCAGTCAAAGTGGCGGGGTCCATTTGGGTGAGTGCATTAATGGGGCGCCCAACCTGCGACAAGGTTATGAGGCTGATTGAATAATTACTGTGGAGGCCCCTGTCCATTACGCCCCTGTTACTGCTCAGATAGACGGAGATGCAGAGAGAGAGAGAGATGGAGAGATAGTTTGAGACAGAAAGATGGAGGTAGAGATTAGATAAGGACAGATAGGGTCAATTAAGAGATAAACATACAGGTATGGGATGGAGAAAAAAGGCTGTGTGTGCATGTGTGTGTGTTTGTGAGGCAGTGAAAATTTGAGAGTAAATAAGTTCCCGCCTATGTCTCCTTTTTAATGTCTCCGTCCTACTGTACGCAGCCTAATTTGGCATGTAGGGCATTTATCCAGGTGAGCTGGAGAAGGTGACAAAGGTGAACTTGTTAGACAGAGGTTCACTGCCCTCTGCTCGACCCTGTCTTCTCTTCACCAGACTGTCTGAAAGGAGCGCTGTCAATGTTGCAGGCTGCAAACTTGAGGGCAAAAGATATAGGTTTCCTATAGTTGAATAAAGCTGTAGCCTTAAACATAAGCCTAGGACAAAGTATTCTGTCAATGTAAATGCCCTGCGAAGAGGTTAAATCGAGGGCTGGGAAATCGACCAGATTGATCAAACTAGCAACTTTATCAGTCTCTTACTGTCTTTATATTTACTTATATGGCAGTTTTAAAGTAAATTGTCTGAATCCCATATAATGAAACTTTGAGTAGCTACGACAACCACTGATATCTAACCAAACATTTAACCGTCCAATCAGACAAGAGTTAAAAGGTTATTGTGACACTAATTTTACTTATATATACATGTTCCTGTACTCACTTTTTTCATTTCTCTAGTGATGGCAGTGTCGGTCGGTCCACTACTTTGCCCCAGACTGAAGTAACATATTTCTGTTGCAATGAAATGTGGTACAGATATCACAGAGACTGAAGTCCCCTGACTTTTCCTGTAGCGCCAAAATTAACATTTTTGCCCAGTGTCTTGATTTATAATCAAATATCTGTGAGCTAAACAGATGGTGAACATGGTATACATTATACCTGCTGCTAAACATCATTATGTTAGCATTGTCATTGTGAGCATATTAGCACTATACCCACTTCTTCAGTTCCCATTGAGGCCAATCTCTTTATCACTGACCAGGGACCATGTTAGCAGTAGAAAGCATAAATCTTTGCTGTACTTTCGCTGTCTAAAACTACTAAAGGTAAGTGGATGACCCGATCTCCCCTTTCAACATATTCTCTCTCTGTGTTGAATCCCTCATTGACTCTGCTGCCTTTGAAATTGGTCCAAGAAGTTTTCATGCATACATTTAATGTTGGCTGTTTTAGCCTAGATTTGTGAAATGATATCTGCCAAACCTGCCCAGCTTCTGCTGACCCCTCTTAGCCAAGGTCAGCATAGCCATGCTCAAACTCGAGACATAATCCATTTTCTACTGCCCCGGCAAAGCTCTACTGAGTTGATTGTGCTGACCCAGCCGGGCCAAAGAAAAAGAGAGTCAGAGAGTGAGAGGAAGTAAGAGGTAGAGAGAGAGAGAGGGCATCTCAGGCCCAAGGGCATGACACCGTGGTGCTCGGGGCCACACTAGCCCTTTAAATGTCAACACAGCATAGAGGGGAGGGAGGGGAGAGGAACGGGCGAGGAAAGGGGCTCTCTTTGAGGACAGGGAAGAATATTGGCAACTTCCACTGCAGGAGGGCAGTGTTGGAGACTGGCAGAAGGCGGCAAAAGATGAGGAAGAGTAGGCAGTGGACAGCATTGTCTTTGGAGATGTTTGCTTTAAACTCCAGTCGCAGACAAGTTTAAATATTCTCTCAGGGATGAGAGGAGACATTTAAAGATCTGTGATTTTCAACTTAATTGTGACTTCAAAGGAGGCTTAGTATTTTGTCTTATGTCTATTACCTTGGGAACAGTCTCTGACCTTTATGTGAGCAAGTACATACAGTACCTAATTGCTCTCTGTCAACCTTTCTTTCTTTCTTTCTTTTCTCTCTCTGTACAATTAGACCTCTAGTCTCACATTTTAAGAAATTACATTTTTTAAATAGATGAAGTAAGAAATCATAACATGGGTTTTCATTCAAGCATTTTCATGCAAACTATATTTCATTGAATTAAAAGGGCTGAATGGAAATGTTTTTTATTTTTCTATTGAACCAAGGCTTCATGCTCACTCCAAGCTTAAAAAGTACTTGTTGAAAATTTTGTTTCGTTGTGTGGTAATTAAAAAATTACGACTTAAAATTTGACATCACAAAAATGCCACGTATGCTGTCTCCTATAAAAGTTGTTCATGACTACTTTATGGCTGTTATTGGTGAATGAAAGAACCTTACTTGATTCACTGACTGTTTTCTCTTTTTTGTTCCTCCTTTCCCTCTCTCTCGTGTTCTCTCTAGGTCTGAGTCTGTCACATCCTCAGCCAATCAGAGCCTTCGTTAACAGCGGCGTCGGCACGTGATTGGGAGAAGGATGGCAACCATGCCGTTTGTTAGTGAGGGGAAGTGTGTGAGTGTGGAGTGGGATTTCCTTCAAGGACTGCTGGCGAAGCCTCCCACCCTGCCCTGGTGAGACACAACACACACAAACTCACACACAAACATGGATACTATATAAGCCTGTGTGCATGCCCATGAATTAATCTCTGCAAGGTGAAATCCATGCATTAACACCCTTGCATACACTGACAGCCCGAAGTAGAATTTCCTATCAATGAAACACAATCCAGAAGACATAAGTCTGATCTCCTTGGTGCTACATATAACCTATATTGTTGCACACCTGCCAATCCTGTCAGAGCTGTGAATCCCCTCCCCTTAGTGGGAGATTAAGTAAATTTGGCCGGAATTATTAATGGGCAGTCATTTACAGGCGGATATAAAAACTAAGCAGAATCAATGTGTGTGTATTGATTGTTCTCGGTGGCTGGGGTCGAGGCAGTATAATAATGAGATGTTACAGAGGCTGGCAGCATGAGTCCACAACACACACACACACACACACACACACACACACACACACACGCACACACACACACACACACACAAACACACACTGTTTTCACTTATTAGAGAATAGCAGGGAGAAATACAACAGCTGTGTCAGCTGATTAAGATATAAACATATGTACACACACCATGTACAGCCCTTTTCTTTGTTCTTTTCTTTTTTTCACTCTCTCTCGCACACACACACACACACACACACAGCACTGGTGGTCTTTCTTAGGATGAGAATCAACAACACAGACACGAGGGAGAAAGGCTGGTTCTTCTTTCTCCTCCAGCTCTCATTCTCACTCTCTTTCTTACACACACACAAACACACACACACACACACACACAACCACACACACTTTATTCCAGCGCAGCACCGACACAAATTGTGAAGTGGCTGTGACAACATAATTCCACCACTCAGGCCCCATTGAGGAGAGTCAATACCCAATCAGAGAGACAGGCTACCTGAGCCCCGGCCCCCCTCTGTCACTCTGCCCCTCCCTCTTCTATTGATCCCTCAATCACGGCTTCAGCTCACTAGCCCGGGACCAGATGAGAGAGAGAGAGAGAGAGAGAGAGAGAGAGAGAGAGAGAGAGAGGGGGAGAGGAAGACAGGGTGAGAGCGAGGGGTTGGAGGGAGGGGAAAGTGAGAGATAGGCAGCCAGAGATTGTGTATGTGTGTTCACATATGGATTTTGGAGCAAATGGCATTATTAGGACTCTGCTCCGGCAGATAGCAGAAGGGAGTTTGTCTGTAATTACCAGGCCAATCTGCAATGGGTCACGATGGAGATTGTTTCACTTGAATTGCAGGAGCCATTACCATCATATGTATTTATGAAATGAGTTTTCTGGATTGATGCTCAGGTCGTCTTTATAGCACAAGAATCAATCAACAGGTGGTCAGTAAATGGTTATTATGTGATACCCCTTACCACTGTCTCCCATCCTACACAGTGCTGATTCTGACTGTTTTCTCTGCCCTTCTTTTCTCTCCTCCCTGCATTTATCTATTTCTTCCATTTTACTTCTGCCCGTCCCTTGTTTACCTCTTAGTCTCCAGAACCTGCGTAAAGAGAAGTCTCGCAATGCGGCTCGTTCACGGCGGGGGAAGGAGAATTTCGAGTTCTTTGAGCTGGCCAAAATGCTGCCTCTGCCCGGGGCGATCACCAGCCAGCTGGACAAGGCCTCGGTTATCCGGCTGACCATCAGCTACCTGCACATGCGCACCTTTGCCAGCCAGGGAGACCCGCCCTGGAGCCCTTTGATGGAGGGAGACAGCAACTGTGGCAAAGGTGAGCAAAAGGGATCACCTAAAAAGAAAGGTTAATGTAGAGAAACAGATTTATGTCTGTTGGAGTGTGTGTGTGTGTTTGTGTTCAGTTCAGCATCTGATTGGTTTCAGAACACACCAGAAACTCCGGGTCTTTCTGTTATTTCCCTCCAATCTCTCTCCTTTTTCTATGAAGCAGATACATAAAGACTCGGGATACTTGCAAATGTTTCACTCAAGTTGAATTTGTGTCTAATTGCATCTTTCCACTGAGTTTGCATGCACCACTAAAATATAATTCATGTTCTGTTTGAGCACCCAGTTAGTAGGAAACAGGGCCGTAGCTACGATTGAGGACACTGAGGTCACGTCCACTGCACTCCCTCTGACAATTTGAGGTTTTATGAATGTGGGGAAGTTAACATTCTGCATTAAAAAATATGGGCTGATTCCAGTATATTGTAGACCTGATATACTTACATTTTATTAATCATAGCCCAAGAAAGGATTCATGCTCTAATTTTCCCACTCCCAATTTTCATTCTTGGCAGCCTTTAGAAACAGCATTTAGGCCTTCATGTTGGGTATGGGTAATTAAATGTTCATATTAGTTAAAAATATAAAAATCCCCCAAAAATTAAGGCCTTTTGTTGTCCTGACATTCTGGCTATATTCCTATTTTTCAGAATTTGTTAATTGTTAAGTTAATAATTTTAGGGATTTGTCACGAGTAGATGGTGCTGTTTTAATTGTTGGCAAATTTAAACTTTGACAAGTATTCAGCGTTAATGAAACACAGTTGTGACGGATCATTTCCAGGCTCAGGGTTCATGCTGTTCAGCCTATAACAAAATTACACAGCAGAGATAAATATGCTGATGTGTGTTGCCAATGCACACAAACCGCTGAAAGCCATGTTTCATCTTGCATGTGTCTTTCAATCAAAAGCAGTCCTCAGCAGTCTGATCTGCCCACTTACTCCCGCCCACAGAGACACCCCACACCACAAAAACTCACTTCGGACCAGGACAATTATCCAGACCCCTATTAGCAGCCATAATTACTTGTGCTGTGTATGTGACACAAGCACATATCCATTCACAAGCCTGTTAGCATACATGTGCACATACAGTAATATTACAAAGGCTTTGCATTCGCTTGTTTGAGTAGAATTTATATGTTGTGTTTAAGTGTGTGCGAGTGTGTGTTTGAGTGTGTGAAAAAGAGCGAGATAGATGATACACAAAGAGGGAGGGAACTATTGGTGCGATTTGTAATTACAGAAATTAACTATATAACGAGGACAGTGTAATTACGAAGCCTGTCTAATTGCTACTATTACTGAGGGGAAACGACACAGCTACAGTACAATTAGAGGTGTGTGTTTGTGTGTCTACGTGTGTGTTCATGCCAGTTCTTGTCTAATTTGAGGAAATGTGAGAAAAAATTGTCATGTTAATAGCCTGTTTTAGTGTGACTGAGTGTGACTTGCTTTACCACAATATGTACCACACATTCCTGATAAGATGTGATAGTCTTAATAGTATAATAAGTTGGGCTGAGTATCAATAAGGCTGATAGCAATTCATATTTTCTCAAAAACAGGGACACTACACTGATTTACACATAAAATCAGTTTAGTTGTCATGTGGAGAACAACTCATTGTGTGAAAACAGTTGTATAAAATCTTCTGTTCAGCTTAGACACTCTGAATTTATAACAGAAAGCCTGTTTATCAGACAGGGATTCTCTAATGTAAAGACACTGCATGGTGGGAAATATGGTATCCAGTGTTTGTGGAGCTTGGACTATACTAGGGATTTAAAGTCAAAATGTCCTGAGCTCTACTTCTTTGACTTTCTTCTTTCTTTATCCAAACTTTAACCCCTTTAGTACCCCTTTAATTTTGGGAATATAAACATGTTATATCTTTTTGTAAAATATGCCAAACCTTTCAAAACATCAGCATTTCTTGTCTTAACAGAAGCTTCCATAAAAAATAATTTTGCCTAAAGAAAATAGTCAAAAATTATCATAGTTGTGAATTTGCAGATCAAATAATAACTAACCAATTCTCAATTCAATTACGGAAAATTACATACTGCATAGTAATGTTTTGAGTAGTACACGCTAATATTAATGTGTATACATACTACATTAAACATTTCTTTGCCAAACAATTCATCATTTTCGAGTGTGCTATTGTCCTAAAATTCAAAGCACAAAAGACTCTCTCTCTCTCTCTCTCTCTCTCTCTCTCTCTCTCTTTCTCTCTAAAAAAAAAACTTTAAATGGCAGTGGCTTTTCAGCCTCACAGATTGATATACCTTTTTAAGAATAGACATTTCAAGTTGTTATAGCAGGAAAAGCTCAGGTGTTACTAATACCATTAACAATGGCTCTGTTAAATGCACAATACCAGGATCCTGAAACCAAAGCAGCTAAATGGACTTCAGCCATCATTCATTTTATTGGTTACACCACTGTTTTTCCTGTACTGAATCGTCTTCTGTACATTGATTAGATACAGTAACCTTACCATTGATTTTTAGGTATGCAAAAGCAATACAGGACAATATGACGATTAGTGTAGTGTACACTTACACATTAGTAAGTAACATTAACTGACACAAGACAAGCAATCTCATTATCTCATCATTACCAATGTTTAGTGGTACATACTCTCTCCGTCTGTACTTTACAAACTATTGAGGATCAATAACCTAATAGCCGTAATAATAAATATCTGACCAATTAATAGCAATACCTCACTGTAACCCAAAAGTATCCTAATCAGAGAATTTGTATTGTATAATACCTTCATGTTGAGCCCTAGTCTATGGCCACAGTATCAGAAAATATATATACATTGTTATGAGTGAATCCACTGGGATCCATCGATATCTAATCAGCCATGCAGCGCTGCACAATCTGAATGTCTGAGCGATAGCCAAACAGTAGCACACTTACACACAGCCGTGGCCTTGACTGAGCTCTACACGTAGTGAATTGTTTTTTCCTCAGTGTTCCAGGCTTTCCATGGCCTTGACAGAAAATACCTGCTGTTTAGAAAAGGCGATGTGCAGGTATAGCCGTGCTGTCCTGTGCATGAACTGGACGCCTAGTAGAAAGACAAATGCGAGGTGTGCTGCTTACCCTACAATGAGAACCACTTCTCGCACAAATGTGAGCCGTAACTGTAAATATATGGAATCCTGCTGCCGCCACGCGAAGGTCAAGGAAAATTGTGCGGCACTTGACAAACACAACGAATTGAAACACATTCCAGCTACAGATGGTATTACAATCTGAATTATCTTCAACATTTCTTCCGCTGGTTTTCTTGAGTATTTTATTAAATGTTTGGAGATTTTTACAAGCAGGTCACACAGTCTCAGTGGGGCCAAAGCTGAAAATGCGATGCTAATTTGGACATCAGTTTGAACAAGTCTACCCACAATGCATTGGCAGGGTTTTAAGTGTGATGCATGACTTTAATTCCGTTAGTGGAATGTGGTCAGAGATCCAGCTGAAAGGGAGAGGAGGACGGAGAGGAGGGGAAGGGACAAATGTAGAAGGAATAAAGAGAGAAAGAGTAAAGGAAGGAGAGAAGTGTGAGGAGAGAGGAGAGGAGGAGGGGAAGGTTGCATTCCTCCGCTCTCCCTCTTGTCCGAGGGTTTTTGGACGGGGGCGAGGGCCAGCGGAGAGGGAAGGAAGAGGTGGAGGGCGGAGGAGAGGAGAGGGATGGAGGGAAGGGGAGGGGCCGGTGTGGCTTTTGTCTGCTTCCCACGTTTCAAAGCCAGTCTTGAAAAATGAATAGACAGAGGAAAATCAATTGCATGACCTTCACAGAGAGAAAGAGAGAGATTGAGAGAGCAGGAGAGGGGGGAAAGAAGGAGGAGAGAGACAGATTATGGAAGGAAGGAGCAAACGAAAAGGAAAGGCTAAAGCGAGGAAAAGTAAAATGACCCATGATGTTCATTCCCATTCAGTGTGAGAGAGTGTGTGTGTGTGTGTGTGTTTGTATTTGTACCTATTTGCACAGCGCACTGAAGGACTAGACCCCTTTATTTCACATCATTCATATTTCAAATCCTCTATGTTGAGTAAATTTTGCTTTGGGGGACTATTTCCTTGCCATTTCACATGTCCCGTGAAAGGATAATTCATGTTTTCTTTAACCAGAGTCTTATTTTTGTAGCTCATGATAACATTGCAATCACCATGCTAATTGCTGAGACCTGGGAACAGCAGCAGCATTGCTAAAAAGCAGTATGACAGGGCAAGACACAGAAGTGAACAGGGGATCAGACAGGTTGTAAACAAGCTACCAGTTTAGCCAGATCAACCACTTGATTTGGAGTGCAGTAGGTCAAACATGAATCAGTTTGTAGTAATAATGGAGTTGGAGTAGAGGTGAGAGTTGGAGTAAAATGGTGCTGTTTGTTTTCTTTTCCAAATAAGTTCAAAAACCTCACTCTGCATCACTGTAAGGTGTAGTCAGAAGTGTGCTCTATTGCACCTGTGACCACACCCAACAGTGATGTCATGGTGTACTGACACACCCTGGAGAACACTTCATCACCGAGGTGACAATTTGATTGACTGGAGGTCAGCAACAACGTTGTAAGTTGCCCTTTAAAACCTGTATGATGATCGGAATTCTTGCTGAGGCGGACCAGTATTGGATTTTTGAGGCAAATACCAATATTGATATTTTTTTAAAACAAAAAAACCCAATAACATATTTTTATGTATTCAGTTTTTAACAAAACACATAACATTAACAAATATACTTGATAAGAATCCCTTAAATGTTAAAATACTGTTAAAGATCAAACATATCTTTGGCATTCCCATGGTGCAATTTCCTGTTTCTTATCAGCCTGCACATTAGTTAAAACCAACATGTCTGTGATAAGCTAATATCTACAGAATAATCAATAATATAAGCCATACTGATAAATAGGTTGGTAAATACAATATTATCATAATGAATAAAAGCTCTCGCCAGGACCAGA